CCTTCATCCGGGTCTAGTAATTCCTCGCTGCTACACTGCCCTTGATTAAGCCCCATTAGGCATCTTACGCCCTTCTCTCGATTGATTTTAGTTCACTTGTTCCCTTGTCCCTGGGTTGGTTCCCCCTGCCCATCCCCAACACACACACATTTCCTCTCTCCCACCTGCCCTTCTCCCGTATCCCCCCAGAACCATTGGTCCTGTTCTTTTCATCTCTGAATTATTTATCCCACCTATATTATCTAGATAGACATGCAGACACATTAATAAGCACAGAAACCCGGCAAAGCCAAATAAAACCACAAAGGAAGTCAAGATCAACAAAACAACAACAACAAAAAGAAAGCCACTGACAAAAATGGAAAGGCCTATAAATAGTTCAAGGTCAGTTTGTTGGCCTTTATGAGTGTTTTCCAGCCGGGTCTGATGGGGTGCCACACTCTGTCTCCAAAGTGTATTTTTGGTATTTCCCAGGGATTTCATCACTTTGCTCCCCTTGCTGCTCTGTTGCATGCCCTTAGTGTTTCGCCCCAGTGTGATGGGGTCAGATTTTGCACAATTCCCGAACTGTGTCTCCCATATTGTCCCCCACCGCACTATGGTTTAGTGAGGGACGTCTTGTCTCGTAGTGGGGCCAGCCCTATGGTCCTCTCTGTGCGTTGTCTGCTCTGAGTAGGGATATCGTCCTCAGGGCCTGGTGGGCCAGGATGTGCTGCCCTCCCTCTCCATCCCTTTTTGTTTCTCCCATGTACTCTAATCAGATGCACCCCTTTCCCCAAGCTGTAGACCCAGTGTTGTCCTCTGAAGTGCATTCTTCTGAGTGGGGCAGGGTGTGTGTGTCCCCACATTGTTGGGATTGGGGCTGGCCCCACTGGATTGGGGTGTTTAATTGATGCACATTTGATAGAAAGCTCTTTCTTACACATATGGGAGTGTCACTGGACATGTTTCTGTAGTCAACTCGACCTAACACATTTGCCAAATAGCCAGGTTAATCCATAGTATCAGGACACCAAGTCATGCTACCAAGGGATAATGATGGCAGTGCACTAAGGGCGTTGGCATTTAGGGCTCCTACCTTCTTATGGCTCTATATGTGTGGGGCAACTCGCCAGCCACTGCACTGAGGAAACCCATGATTTTCCAGCTCCCCTTTCTAAATCTGTTTCTTACGGCATGGCAAATTTAACTCATCTTGTGATATACAATTAGTAGGAAGGATGCAGAAAATGGCTAGTCTTATTCAGCTAATAAAGAGAAAAGCTAATAAGCTCTCATATACTGCTGGAAAAAATTTAGTATGAGCAGGTGACTAGATTCAGCTGTGTTAATTTCCTGAATCATTCCTAGATAGGGTTCCTGTGAATAGGAACAGCTGTGATAGCAGTAGCTTATGCTCTCCCGCCTTCAGGGATATATCTGTACCATAGGTACACACATCTGTACAAATATCCTGTCATATCTGCATATGTATATTTGAGTATTCTCCTACTACATTATCGGAAAGAACTGTTCAGTCATCTCCAAAATTCACACGGAGATGCCTTCTTCTACTGAACTTTCATTCCCCCACCCCACCCCACCCCACACTCAATCAACTACTGACCTATTTCCCATCTCTATTGACTGGGGAGCCCAGGTGCAGCAGTGGTTACGCATTGGGCTGTAACAGCAAAGTCAACGTCCCTAAACTACTAGCTGCTGCTCTACTGGAGAAAGATAATGCTTTCTACTCCCATCAAGAGTCAGAGTCTCAGAAACACCTAGGGCAGTTTCTAGTCTGTCCTTTCGGGTCACTATGAGTCCGAATGGCGTCATTGGCACTGACTGGTTATAGTTTTGACTTCACCCGAATGTTGTATGGATGTGCTGGGGTCTTTCACTCGGCACAATGCACTTGAGACGTACCTGTACTGTGTGTGCCTTAGGAGTTAGTTTTATTTCTGATTACTACTTATGGATATGCCTGTCTGTTTATTTATCTGCTAAAAGCCATAGATCTGAATTGTTGCTAGTTTCTATATTTCAGTTTTGTAATGAACCATCACCATGACAATAATGAGAGAAGATTACAGGAGCATCATGTATTTTATGTCTGGGAAATTAATTATATAAGGTAACTTTATATAATTGCACAACAATCTAAAATTTAGTGGCCTCGTAATTGTATCGTGTTTTTAAATTCACTTATTAACCAAGTCCTTATGTAAGTGATTTGGGCTGCTAATTTCAAAGCCTGAAATTTGAGCCTCGCAGCCACTCTGAGGGATAAGGATGCGGCTGCTCTATAAAGATTTACAGCTTCTGAGACCCCTATGATGGCAGTGGGCTCTGGTCTACAAAAACTACTTATTTTTACCATTGAATTATCACATATTATCCTTGTGACATATTTTCTACTTGAATAAAATATTAAGTTTTTGAAATTAATTACTTTGAAATTCATTGAAATATGTTCTTACTATCCTTGATTGTCATAAGAAGTATACATTTTAACACCATTGGGATTATATCAAATATTTTTCTGTGAATGAACTGCATCCCTCAATGTAGCACCAAAGCGCATGATTGTTTCTAAAATTAGTTTGATTGCTTTAAAATTAGCAAGTCCAGACCCAAAATAGTTCTAAACATAGATAAGCTTTGAACACTTTCACCCCATACACTGGCACTTTAAGGTGATTATAGTAAGATGATTGTTTATTATTTTGTAGGAGAAAAAACAAGAATTAATAAAGTGTTCAGCTTCCCGACTTAGTCATAAGTCTGCCCTCACTGGGTAGAGATTACTCATATTTTGAAGGGGCTTTGAATTGTGAGTAGAAAATAAGTCTGATTATCCTGGGTATCAGTTTGTTTTAGGCATCGAGACAAAACAAATGATTACTATAAATATCCATACTTATTTTAAAAGATTACTAACTTTCCGCAAATAATGTGCCGTTACATGCTTTTGCCAAATGCGCAGCCCCTGTCTTACATGTTATTTTTGTAAGTACGCTAGACCAATCTTTTAAAATATGTTGCTGACATCAATTGGCACTAAAGGGACAAAATTAAATTATGAACTAAGCAAACCAAATCCAAACCTAATGGCTTCAATGAAGACGATCTGATAAGGCCTTGCATTTAGTTATTGAGTTATTGTGCTATACAGGATTAATTTAATAAACAGAAGCAAACTCATGGTTTCGACTGTTGTTGGTTTTTTCCCCAATTAACAGAAGCTAACCAAACTCAATCCATGAATTTG